TTTATTTCATTTCTCAGCTGTTACTGTAAAAAGTTCATCCTAAACAAAAACCTCACGATCAATCTGTTATCAGTTAAGAAAGATCGATGGACAGACCAAAATCAGTCACGTCATACTACTTTGCTAATGTTTTTTTTTGGCAATAAAATCTTAATAACCCCTAAAAATCTGTCATTAGTTGACAGGGTACAATGTTTTCAATTAACTCAAAATTGTGACAAAGAAATAGACAGTGCGTAGGTAACCTTATAGTGTCCGTAAAGTGGGGTTGACAATGCTGAGAGTTTGTGACTCGGAAAGCGCACCTGGCTAAAAACTCGGTTTTCGTATTAACCGGTGTCCGTAGAGCGGGGTTCTATCGTAATTAAACTCATGCTTCCCTGCTTTCCATTTATCAATTGATTTCTTGACTGATTGATAATAGATTTTCTACGTATGATTGATATATTTGGTTGCTTAGAGCCGAGCCTCCATCTCAGAAGAATCCATACAATTTTCTCAAATGGAACGAATTTATTACCCAAAGACAATTTAGTTACTGAATTTACTTTCAACTCAGTGTTATTGTGTTTTTATCAATAAAGTAACCAATTGATTCTGGAAATAAAATAATGCAGGAATTTGCCGGGGAGACAATAACACGCGGAAAGCAAGAATGGCGATCCCCAGGTCTACAAAAGAATTAAGAACGAAAGAATTTCTCAATTCTGTATATATTTATGCCCCGGGGGATACCAGCTCAATTAAAATATGTTCAAGTTATTTCAATCGGTTTTTCATCCAACAATTTTATTTATTATAAAACAAATAAAAATCCTGGCAATGTAAAACCTTAATAACGTAAGATTTTCTGAAAATTTATAAAAACATCGTGATTAATTAGCATAACATGAGATTTGCGCGGTCTTTTGAAAGTGTAACCACCTGCAACAAGAGAAAAAGTTACACTTCACGCTTGTTATATTGAGGGATAGTATGATCTGCTGTTAAAGAGGGGGGAGGGGGGGAAGGAAATTGTTGTGGACTTTTTGTTGGAAGGAGCCGGGTGAATGGACAGTGCATGAAAGAAAGTTGAAATTTTACATTTTGAGTGTTGGAAGCCGGGAAGCCGTCGGTCTTAAATTAGTTGTTTACTTCGTCACAAACTTACTTGATGACCTCTCAAGTGGTATAGTGAGTTTGCTTGCGGAAAATCATTGACTGGCTATACTTCGGCGTATATTTATATGGCTGAAACAAAATTTGGCACACATAAAGAATTCATTGTCCCTAACATAGTATAAATATCGTGTTAATAAGTCACTTGACAATCTCGAATAATTGGGCGATTCCACACAAACCCTAGCCCTATTTCCTTACGCCCTAGCACGCGCCATCCAAAAAGACGTTTTGGACAGAAAAATAGGGAAAAAAATATGGTGTCTCTAGAAAAAGAACTACTGCAAATTATGAATGTTTGTAATTACACTCAGCTTACATTAATTTTTACCTCTGTGATACATGTTACGAAGCTTAAGAGATTTAAACGTGTAAATAAATCAGATGAGTGCTTCTATTGAAACGTAATTCAGACTCCCTCTGAAAGGAGTTCACACTAAAAGTACCAAACAAGTGAACTTCAAGAGCATTTAAGACCCTGTTTACATGGACAGGGGGAACCTGGTCGAGTGGGGTAGGTTTCTTTTGTTTTGTGTCCCCGAGAGCGTGAAAACAAAAGAAACCAACCCTACTACACCGGGGTCCCCTACTCCATGTAAACAGGCCCTAAGAGCCCTAGTGTGAATTGGCCTATTGACAAATTAGTGGCGGGTTTAAGAAAAGAATTCAATAAATAAAATTTTTCTCACTAACATTAAAGATTTCTCTAACAATTCGAGTTCTGAATAACTGCCCGCTGCACTTCATTAAGAATTATGAGGGAAATCATCATTTTACACTCCCTTAATTTAAATTTGAATTTTTTAAAACTTTAACTTAAAACTTCAGGTAAATTGATTTTTTCATTTTAAAAGTAGACAGTAAGGTATGTTTACCGTCTATCAGAAAAGCCGATTTATTTATTCAAATAAAGCTAACTCGCCACCAATTCGCCAATTTCCTTCAGTTTAAATTTTTGGTCTGGTGACATGTCACGTGACCATAATTATACGTCAAGGTACAAGGAGACTTCTAGATTAATTTTTATAGGAAAAATTCATCTCTTTCTAGGTATTCTAGCGAGAGATATTGCCAATCAATCATATGCTCCGAACACACTATCTACCCAGGCCTTAAACCCCTTAAGCTACGATTTTCCAAGAGTTAGGAAAAAGTTAGCATTACAGTTTGGCTAGCATAACATGTGAATCTGCGCCTCCGTTTGAAAGTACATTCGATTCCGAAGCACCTGCGACTCAAAGTATTTACGTTTGTTACGATCGTAAATTTCCTTTGTCCACAGTTTTTAACATAACTTCCCATTTTTCTTCATGAAAAGCAGTGTAAAAATCATCCAAGAATTTCCAACACAGTTATTCACTACCAAATACTCCAACGGCCTTATTGAGGCATATTAAGAACGACTGAAATATTTAATATGTTGCATTTATTTTGCCTTGTTATATATTTAATCTGTATATATATTAAAAGCTTTACGAAAAAAGCTGAAGAAATGATGGCGGTGAGGTTATGGCTTTAATTTCGTTTATTTGTTTAATAACTGCAGGGTTTGTTAATCATAATCGGTAGGTTGTGGGGTTCTTACAGTCATCGCCAAAAGTGTTGGGAATTAAGGCTGCTACTTTCTATCCTTTTTTTTTCTTTCTCCCCATGCACCTGCTCCAATGTTAAGCAAAAGATAAATGTCTGTACCTCTAATTGTTCTGTTACATTTTGTATATCCCAACATTGAATCGGAGGGACGGGCCGTGATATTTAGCAAAAGAAAATACTCTTTTTTTGGAGGATTTAAATGGACTATTGTTTAGTTGTACAATCTTCTTAACTACTTTTGTCCGGGATTGATGACCAATAAGAGGCAGGTCTACTGATGAACCAATTGATTTGACTGGCTGACTTACTGAAAAATTGATTGAATGAATGAGTGATTGATTATTGGTTGACTGTCTCTCTGATTAGTGACTGATGTATTGTCTGGTTCACTTACAGATAGATAGATTGATTGACCGACTGATTAACTATTAAACTACGTGCAAACGGACGCAATAACTCCCAACATTGTTGGCCCGCAATGTTGGGAGTTGTTGCGTCCGTTTGCAAAAAGATTAACGTCTGACCGGTTTCAAACTTTGCGCAATTAAACATGCAACAGAGTGTGAAAACGGACGTAACATGTAACATCCAACAATATTAAGAGTTGTTCCCCAACACTGTTGCATGCGTTTGCACGGGGCTTTACAGTCGAGCCCGGTTAATAAAGACACCAAGGGGACATTCCTTGGTGTCCTTGTTATCCGGGTTTCGGTAATACAGTGTGATGTAAGTGAACTGTATGAAAAAAAGTCACGGACAACTAATTTATGGATATAAAGACTTAGCTGACATTTTTTTAACGAGAAAACTTTATTTCATTTCTCAGCTGTAACTGTAATAAGTTCAACCTGAAAAACTTCACGATCAATCAGTTATCAAAGTCTCAGACTAAATCATGTTATCAGTTAAGAAAGATCGATGGACAGATCAAAATCAGTCATGTCATGCTACTCTGCTACTGTTTTTTTGACAGTAAAATCCCAATAACCCCTAAAAATCTGTCATTACTTGACAGTGTACAATGTCTTCAATTACCTCATAATTGTGACAAAGAAATAGACAGTGCGTAGGTAACCTTATAGTGACCGTAAAGTGGGGTTGACGATAGTGAGAGTTTATGACTCAGAAAGCGCACACAAAAAATTCTAAAATGTTAACCGGTGTCGGCAGAGTGGTGATCCACTGTAATTAAATGCTAGTAAATCATGCTTTCCTGCTTTCTATAGACCGGTTTTATCTATTGATTTCTTGGCTGATTGATAATAGATTTTCTACGTATGATTGATATATTTGGTTGCTTAGAGCCGAGCCTCCATCTCAGAAGAATCCATACAATTTTCTCAAATGGAACGAATTTATTACCCAAAGACAATTTAGTTACTGATTACAACACGATAAAAAAAAACAACAATCATTCGTCATTGCCGTGGACTAGATGGTTGTTTTCGACTTT